CTGGAGCTAGTTCTGTGTCACCCTAGGTTATGACTGTTACATGATGAACCGCATCCGGCATAATTCTCTATCACCGATCCATTGCCTACGAGCTTTCCCTATATTGTTCTCTACTTATTTACTTTTCCGTTGCTATTGCTATCATCACTACAAAATACCAAAAGCATTACTTTTACTACTGTTACCTTTTGTTACCGTTATCACTACTATCATATTACTTTGCTACTAAAAACTTTGCTGCAGATATTAAGTTTCCAGGTGTGGTTGAATTGACAACTCAGCTGCTAATACTTGAGAATATTCTTTGGCTCCCCTTGTGTTGAATCAATAAATTTGGGTTGAATACTCTACCCTCGAAAATTGTTGCGATCCCCTATACTTGTGGGTTATCACCCCCACCGGCGCGCCTCGCCAGCCGCAGCACGCCACGGCGCCCTGGGCCGCCGCCCAGAACCCTTGGACGGGACTGGTGCATGCATACAACATGCCCATCCCACGTCCCCCGGTCGCCGGCCTTATGGGACCATGCCCTGCCGCGCATCAGGCGATCTTCGTCGCGTCGCAAGCCCCGCCACAGGCGCGGTACCCTGCGCTCCCGATGGCGTACGCCACGCCACAGCAGCCCAAGCAGCAGTATGGCGCTGCCTACTACAACACCTCGGCGCCCCCACTCCCTCCTGCTCCATGGGATCCGGCGCTGCTTGCAGCCCTTCACTTCGCTCTGTCTCCAACCAACTATATGGGTGGCGGTGATTGGTATATGGACACCGGAGCCACCACTCATATGTCTTCTCATCCCGGTAATCTCCACACCTTCTATCTCGTCAATACTTCCACTCATATTACTGTCAGTGATGGATCATCACTTCCCATTACACATATAGGTCATGCTTCCTTTCCATCTACATCTATGCCTTTGTCACTATCTAACATACTTGTCTCTCCCGATCTTGTCAAGAACCTAGTTTCTGTTCGATCGTTTACTCGTGAAAATCCTGTCACCGTCGAGTTTGACATGCGTGGTTTTTCTGTTAAGGATGCCAGTACCCGGATGGTGCTCCACCTATGTGATAGCCCCGAGGAGCTCTATCCGTTCCACCCACCCGCCTCCACCAACACCTCTCCAGTCGCCCTCTTTGCTGGTGTGGACCTCTGGCACGCTCGCTTGGGACATCCCAACCCCGCCACCCTTCGTCACATTCTTCGGAGTTTTTCTCTCACTTGTAATAAGACCGACGGTCACACTTGTCATGCATGTTGTCTAGGAAAACATAGTCGTATTCCCTTTAGCGCATCCTCTTGGTTGCATCATATCCGTTTGAACTACTTCATAGTGATGTGTGGACTTCTCCAATTGCGAGTAATACATGCTATATTTATTATCTTGTCGTTCTTGATGATTTTTCGCACTATGTGTGGACTTTCCCATTGCGGCGGAAATCCGATGTCATATCCATCCTTACCACCTTCTACTCCTATGTCACCACGTAGTTTGGTTGCTCCATTCATGCTCTATAAACCGACAACGGGAAGGAGTTCGATAATCTTGCGGTTCGCAATCTCCTCGCCACACATGGAACGATCTTTCGTCTCACTTTCCCCTATACCTCGCAACAAAATGGGCACGCCGAACAGGTTTTACACACTTTTAACGATTGCGTCTGTACACTATTATTTCACGCTAATGTGCCACCCCATTTTTGGCCTCGCGTCCTCGCCATCGCATCACTTCTCATTAATATATGGCCATGTCGTGTTTGCGGCAAGTTTGCACCGCATCACTTGCTCTTTGGGAGCCCGCCATCCTATGACGATCTTCGCATCTTTGGGTGTCTTTGCTATCCTAGCATCACCTCCACCACCCCTCATAAACTTGCTGCTTGCTCCATTGCGTGCATCTTTCTGGGCTACCCTCCTAACACCAAAGGCTACCACTACTACGACCCCATCTCACATCGTGTACTCACTTCCCGACATGTTTACTTTGATAAAAGGGTTTTTCTGTTTCATCAGGTGCCACCGGTCATCTCGTCATCATCATCGTCCTCGCCGCCGGCCACCGACGGCTCATCGTTGGTTTCTCATGGTGTGCGCCCCTCGCGCCATCCTTGGGCCGCCTACTGGCTTTGACCCGCTGCCATGCACTCCAGATGCTTCGGACGCGGCAACCTCTTCACCGACCCGTACGGCTGCCATGGTAGAGGGCTCAACGCCCAATGTCGTTGCATCGGCTGGAGAGGCAGCATCCCCGGTGCCCTCCTCACCCGCTGCCTCAGCGGCCACAACCGTGCCCACGGGTTCAGCTGTGACGGGCTCTCCATCGACCTCCGCGGGTTCGGCCGCGGCGGCCTCTCCGGCGCCCTTCGCAGGTTCGGTTGCGACATGCCCCTCACCGCCTCCTTCGCCCCTTGTGTCGTCGGCCACCTCGTGTTCGGCCGTGACGGGATCTTCGCTGTTGCCCCCCTCCCCGGACTCGCTGCCCTGCCGCATGCTGACTCGCGCTCGGGCTGGTGTGCAATGCCCGAGTCACCATACTCCGCCAATGAGTACCTCCTTGTGGCCTCCACCTCGGCG